GTAATGCAATATAATCCAAAAAGCACCACGGGTGCCCTCGCTTTCTGGCGAGGTAAATGGAAAATGTTTTGAGTTCATTAACGTGAAATAAAATCGATCAGTGTACGTGTGGTTTAGCTCAAATCTATACAAGAATATATTTCACATCAGCTAGCTATATTAATTATGGATCCTACAGAAAAAATCTGGCTGAGGAAATGGCTTCTTTTTTTTGTCTCTCAGCGGAAAGAGAAACAAAGATAAGAATAAGTAGGCCTACAACAAAGTTGCTTTTTTTTTTAGACTGGTGCAAGAGAGAGTGCTTTCAGCAGCATTGACAATGAAAATGTCGTGCGTGCGGACAAGCGTTCTATCGAAAATGTGTTGTCGTGTTTTTTCATTGTTTACTTTACTGCAGAATCACCAAAAAAAAAAATCAACCATCCTGCTGATTTGTCACGATTGCCGCAGTGCACATCTAGCGATATTACTACACCCTTGTGTATTCCGTTTAAACCTATCGTGTTTGTTTTATCGTGATATTTTAAAATGCAAAGTCGTAAGCAGGGAAATATCAAGATCACGCAAGCCTACTGTAATGCTCGATTTGTCCTAATAGACGCTGAGCTTCACCTGATACAGTTCACGATCAGAGGTCTTGGCCCACAAGATTAGCTTCTACACTTATATAGGGGGTTTGTTTTTTCAATGCTTACATTTCCATAGAATTTTATTGAAAAGAATCACCTGTTTAAACAAGCCAGAGACCCCTGTAAGGTGAAGCCCATAGGGGTTAGAAAGTAATGAAGATTATATCTGCAGGCTGTTTTGCTAGTCGCAGATTTGGTCAGCTAATCAGAGGGTTTTTTTTTTTTTTCTCTTTCAATGAACGTACTGGATGTGGAGCCCTGTTTTGGGTGCTTCTGTGCGTGAAGGTGTGAGTGAATTAGCCCACATGTCAGCTTCAGGTGAGAGCACCTGCCCAAACCACAGTGAGAGGTGTGGGGCTTCCAGGTCGGCAAAGAATATTTCGATATGTCGATTCTCTGGTACAGTGGGGGGAAAAAAGTATTTGATCCCCTGCTGATTTTGTACGTTTGCCCACTGATAAAGAAATGATCAGTCTATAATTTTAATGGTAGATTTATTTGAACAGTGAGAGACAGAATAACAACAAAAACATCCAGAAAAACGCGTCGAAAATGTTATAAATTGATTTGCATTGTAATGAGGGAAATAAGTATTTGACCCCCTCTGCAAAACATGACATAGTACTTGGTAATGACTTAGTAATTACTTTTCATTTTCAATGCCCTGGCTGAGGGAAGGAGGTTCTCACCCAAGATTTGATGGTACATTCTTGGGGTCATAGGCAGCATTCCTCCTCCTCCAAACACGGCGAGTTGAGTTGATGCCAAAGAGCTCCATTTTGGTCTCATCTGACCACAACACTTTCACCCAGTTGTCCTCAGCCAGGGCATTGAAAATTAAAAGTAATTACTAAGTCATTACCAAGTACTAAGTCATGTTTTGCAGAGTGGTCAAATACTTATTTCCCTCATTAAAATGCAAATCAATTTATAACATTTGTGACGTGTTTTTCTGTCTCTCACTGTTCAAATAAATCTACCATTAAAATTATAGACTGATCATTTCTTTGTTAGTGGGCAAACGTACAAAATCAGCAGGGGAGCAAATAATTTTTCCCCCTCACTGTATGGGGAGTAAATACTGCTCTTTTTGTGTATTTTTGAACGATGAGCAAATATTAAATTGCATGAAAGGTCGGCATAAAGATGGCGTACAATTATTATATTGTACTAGTGTAGTCCAGATCAGTATGCATTCACACAGGAGTCATGAAAGGTGCCTGAGGTATTTCCTTTCCCCAAACCACCGGCGCCGATTTCCGGTTGAACCCGAGCAAGCTGTCGTGTCATGATGGATCATCAAACCAGGCTGTAGCTTAGCCATGCTAATTTGGTTCAACTTAGAATACTGTGCAAAGTCTGAAAGCATTTTGTTCAGATGTTTGTTTTTAACAACATGCCAGACGAACATGGTATAGATATACAGTATACTTGTATGTTGTTAAAGAAACATCATCGAGAATGTCCAATTTAGCTCAATTTAGCAAGCTTCCAGCTGGAAGAGCTCACAAGCTGCAATATTCTACTGTGTTGAGTAACAGTAGCAGGGAAACCTTTAGAGGCCCAGAGATCTCAAGTTCCACGCACGACCACCTGCCAGGTGTAATAATACGCGTCTTTCAAATTATTAGGCAGCAATGACACAAGTTCCAGTTTAAGTCGTCAAGTAATACTCAAGAAGAAATCAATCCTAGAATATTAAACCAGATACACAACCTGTTTTTCTTACCAAACACACCATGTTTCAGTGTGTTATATGTGGGATTCAGGATTATAGAGAAACCAAAGATGTGTCCGTGTTGTGGGTTTAATATTTTGGAATTAGCAGCCCATTTGATTTAGTTCAAACATTCCCCTCATTTTCAGCAGAGTAAATCACAGACGGCAAAATATCAGGAAGTGCTGTAATTCTCAGCTCTCCATGTTTTTTCCTGTGAGCGGAAGGAATTGTGTAATGCAACATGTCGTTCATGAATCATTTTTATCAGTAATTTTATTCCAGCATTTTTGTTGTTGTTGTTAAACAAATCTCCACAGCTGAACAATTTAGATGTTAGTCTAGTCAAGTCAGATGTTTCCACCATTTTCATTGTATGCTTTGTTAAGGCATTATTGTCTTCTCAGAAAGGCTCATCATAAGGGCTAATGTTATTTTCATAGTTATGGCTGACAGGGAGAAGACTCGGACATTAGTGTATTTCCTGCCTCTATTTGGATCTCATCAGCTCTTCTGCTCTCTGCTTCCTTCCCCTGCTCCTTAAATAAGCAAATCTCTGACCCCATGGCTTCCTGGTCACTGACAATGGATGTGACGTGCTTCAGCGGCCATGCTTTTCTGGGCCGCTGTTTGTTTTCTTGCTTGTAGATAACATAAACCTCAGGGTCGGATTATATGGTCTTGACCGTATAAATGACCATTTTGTTCTCTATGTTCTGTTGTTTGGCTATGTGTAGTCACAGACTAACTAATCAACTAGTCGTTAATACTAGTGGCATTTTAATTTCAGAGTGCTGAAGGCATGACCTTGGCTGCCATTCCACCCAGTGCTTGAGTGCACAGAAGGGTCAGTTTGGTTTGGATGTCGATCTCCTGTTGGGATTCATGTGCATGGGACCAATACACGTCATACAATAGGTGCCTTTGTGGCTGGAATCGTGCTGATATCATGCTGGAAATTTCGATGGGGATCACATGTTGTTTCAGCATGCTGCGTCTCGGAGTCTCTTCTTAGCTCACTTAACAGGAACAGCGTCCAACGTCCAGCAGACAATAAGGCGCTTGTTTAGCGGTTTGGGGATGCATCTGGAAGCCTCTCTGTTAGTGTTCCTCTTGAGAATGAGCTAACTTCGAGCTAACTTCCCTTTTTTTCTGAAGCTTTATAGAGAAGGAAACTCTGTGGATCTTGTGTCTGTTGCAAAAACCAAGAGGTCAAATGCTGTGTCAGAATTAGAGATGTCAAGAGATTTACACTTATGTTGCACTTATGTATTATTTGTTACTGTCTTGTTTGAACTTGTTTGTCTTGGCTCATGCACTTGCTAGGGACTTTTTCTTCACATAAGCTTGCCTTTATTACAAGTGAGATAAGAAATTATTTGAACCCAATTTACTTTTCATCATACTTTTCCCCAACTCGTGCATTGAGATCAAAGTTATCTTACCTTGCATTCTCACTATAAAGTTATGGATGGTTGTCACGAAGATGACTCAGCAGATTGGGTGTGTTGTCCCCTTTCACAGCAACTTTCTTCTGGCATACTCTGCAGACAAGGTTACCATCTTCTATTAAGATTCCCCGCAGCAGTTTTATAAAATCCAAAATATGACACTTTGGATTTGGTACTCGTGGAAGGTTGTAAATTGTAAATAAAGATGCTTTTATGTTGAACCATATAGAGGCTGTTTGTCAGTAAATGTCATAGTTAATTGGCATATGATTGTTAAAGCTACACCGGATATCATTAGTAAGGTGTTAGGTTGTAATTGTTGTGTGAATAAATCAGGCTATCTCTGGTTAAACTGCTCAGGCCTTATTTTTACCATGATTATCTGTAGGGCTGGGTCCTGAGGTCGTACAGTGTTGGTCTTTTGAGACCCACACATCCCTCCCCATCCCAGAGATAAGACTCCTTTCCACTGGAAACAAACTTCTGATTCAGACAGTCAAATCAGAGGCCCCTGACCTTTTAGCCTCAATCGTAATTGCTTTGTAGCAGTCACAGTGATTTTGTAAACTTTCCCAGCATGGGAAAGTCTTCAAGACGGGGGAGTTTATACGTTCTGGTTTCTCTATGAAATGACAAGTTGTGTGTTTTGTGAAAGAGAGACAGAAGGATATGCCTAGATTGGTGAGGACAGGAGCAAATATGTTTCTCAGAAGTTCCACAACATTAAATCTCACAACTATAAACTATTCAAATGTATGTTCATTAAGTTCATCAAACATTGCAATCGTTGACCAATCGCTGTGCTATAAGCGGAAGAACACAGAATAGATCGTGTGGTTGTACAGTCCGTCCAGGATTTCAGAAATGACTGTAAAATCGAGCAAATCCCGCAATGTTTGGAGGAGCCTGCTGTTTTTCAAATTGACCACAGATTTTTCTGCAGATTTGGGCCAAGACGTGTTCAGCCAAAGCCCTGTTCGATTCTCCTTTCACAAAATACAGCTGAAAGATCTAATTTACCAACAAATTTTCACCAATTCAAGTAGTTATCCAAGTTACATCGCAAATATAGCAGCGTTACTATTAATTTACGGCATTTGGCAGACATCCTCATCCTCTGAGTGACTTACATTTTTATCTCATTTTATACAACTGAGCGGTTGAGGGTTAAGGGCCTTGTTCAAGGGCCCAACAGTGGCAGGTGGGTAGTGCTGGGATTTGAACTCGCGACCTTTCAATCAATAGTCCACCATCTTAACCACTGAGCTACCACTGCCAGCTATTAGTTTAAATGCGAAGTAGAGGAGAGGAGTATTGCTGATAAACTCTATGGCAGTTTATGTTCTGAATATACACACTGGACATTGTAATAAAATTATCACACAACCACAGTGCTGGTCATAAACAATATGTAATGTCTTGTAAAGTTCTCAGGGGAGAAGGAAAGGTCGATTTGGATGGAATCACACAGTAGCAGCTGGAAGTGTTGGAATAACCCCAGGTTCCCATGTAAATTCCATCCGAACACGATCAACGCCATTGTGATACGTTTAGCATTGCTGACTCGTTACTTCTCTTAAATCTTTTGGAAAACACTTGGTATCCTTTGCCCTTAGGAACGGAATAAATCAATCAATCTATCCGCAGTATAAAGGGAAAGGACCTGCTGTAAAGTGATGAGAGGAGCTTATGCGATGAGTTATGTGTGGAACTCCAGTTTAAGGGCTCGGGATTGATCTGCCTATTTCCAGACCTAGGTGTTGAGTGTTGGAAGTCTATATAATACGTCAAACAGCTAAAGGTCACTGAACAATGTGCAGTGTGAGGCTCCTCCCAAAACCAGTGGTAGTGTTTTATATAGTGCAGAGAATGGAGCCTGTGCCTTTATTGCAGGTAGCCATGGCTGTGGTTATCAGTATTGGTATAGTGTGTTTGTGATAAAAGAGAGAGAGAGGGGTAGGGGGGGTGAGGGATGGGGTTAGGGATTAATGTGTTTACTTGGGTGACATCCTATTAATTGATGTTTCTGATATGTATTGACTTCTTCATTAATGCTTATTGAATAGTATGCATTACTACTGATTGAGACGTTTAATCTCCAGCAGGTCAGTCTCACATGCTTTACCTGTCTATACAGACACCAGGAAAACCCTTGTGGTCTGCAGCTATGAGGTTAACCATGTGGCTTGCCAAGTGCACAGCCACTTATGATCACTTGGTGAAATAGTACACTACAAATTTGCTTTGCTCTATGAAAGCAGTGGCAGAGTCAAGCTGTAGTGTTATGCATACATGGACAGTGGTATGTGCTTCTCCAGACAGTTCCACCCACCACTGCCCTGAGACTTGATCACACGGTCAGCTGTGGTGGGCGAGCGCATGCGTGGATGTGTTTGTTTTTTTAGTAAGACTGGATATTTTGGGTTAGCAACCTGTCACTTGCCTCCATGTTAAGCGTGGTGGGAATGTGTGCAGCACATGAATAGACAACGTCTCACAGTCTGAGAAATTTACACTAATGCACTGAAATTTCAGACATTAAAAGAGTAAAAATGAAAGTAAGAAAATCCACATTTGAATGTTTATATACCAATTCACGGGGGGACAGGAGTCCCTAACCATGAATATCTCCCCATATTTAATACACGAAAACAATACATCGTACTAGGGCTGCACGATTACGGCCAAAACGATAATCACTTTTTTGATCAATATTGAAATCACGATTATTCATTGATTTTAGGGACGACATATTTTTATTGCTTTTTCACATTTAAATAAACAGAACTCTGCCTTCACCTCCATGTTGTGCTACATTCCTGCTAATGTACAAATGAAATTAGACTGGTCCTTAAAGTGAATCGTCTTATAGAAGCTAAATATAAATAAAATTTAACCCGAAGTATAGGATAAGTAAAAATAAAAATGCCATCAACCAAATGAAAATATGCATCAAATATAATAATATTCAACTAAATAAACAATCTAGCTGAATGCAGAAAAGGCAATAACAGTGTTTACAGGAGGAGAGACGCAGACGATCACCCAATAGAGCGGTGCAGGGACGACGTCATTTCGTACCGAAACCCGGAAGTTATCATCACACCGGTTCCCTCGACAAAAACCCAAAAGGATTTTCACATAGACTTCTGAATTATTAAAAAAAATAATCTGTGTTCGATAAAAATGTACAATACGAACACGTTTTGTCCATCAACAAAACTTTCACAAATGAACAACTTTTTATGAAGTTTGAAGCCTAAATACAATCTCCAGAAATAAACAGTTAACCGTATGCTATAAACGGACTACACCACGGTCGCTCGACTTCAGTCCACTTCGAGGAGGAAGGGGGGGTGGGATTGTGCACAGCATACCTGAACCAGTTTATCTGGAAAGTAGTTTTTTTTGTGTGTGTGTGTGTGTGTTCGGCGTGATGATGTTTAATGTGCCTGACAAAGTCTGTAGTCCCATTTAGCAACATGTCAACAGCTGCCATTTTTCGACACATGTAAAAACTTAAAAATAAACAACAACTCACGAGTGGTATTTATTTATACTGTTGTATTTATGTTGTAGAATAAAATGTGAAAATACAGTGGCAAGAAAAAGTATGTGAACCTTTTGGAATTTCATGGTCTTCTGCATAAATTTGTCATAAAATGTGATCTGATCTTCATCTAAGTCAGGGGTATTGACCAATATAATGTGTCTAAAATAATAACACATTAATAAATTCTGATCCCTCATGTCTTTATTGAACACACTCATTCAACAGTCAAAATGGCAGTGGAAAAAGTAAGTGAACCCTTAGAATTAATAACTGGTTGACCCCGCCCCTTGGCAGCAATAACCTCAACCAGGCTCTTCCTGTAGCTGTGGATCAGACCTCCACATCGTTCAGGAGGAATTTGAGCCCATTCTTCCTGCAGAACTGCTTTAACTCGGTCATATTCTTTGGACGTCTCATGTGTATGTCTCTCTTCAAGTCATTCCACAGCATCTCTATTGGGTTGAGGTCTGGACTCTGACTCGGACACTCCAAAAGGTGGATTTAGTTTTTCTGAAGCCATTCTGTTGTGGCTCATTTTCTTAACCAGACTCCAGGTGTGCAAAAAAAAGAAGCTTTTTTGAGGTCATTAACTCAAGGGTTCACATACTTTTTCCACAAGCACTATGAGGTTTTTTTGGTTGTTCTCAATACAGACATGAAAGATCAGAATTTATTTTGTGTTATTATTTTAGACACATTATATTGGTCAATACCCCTGACTTAGATGAAGATCAGATCACATTTTATGACAAATTTATTCAGAAAACCATGAAATTCCAAAAGGTTCACATACTTTTTCTTGCCACTGTATTTTGAGCTTGTGTTCACCAAAGAGCTTATTTCAGGGTTTTAAGCAAAAAATCCCATAAAAAAAAAAAAACAATTGTCTTCGGGACGATGGACCAGGAAGCGCTAAAATGCTAACTCGTTTCTGGGTTTTGGCGTTACAAGATGATGTCATCCCTGCGCCGCTCTATGGTGATTGGCTGTAAGTGTAGGAAGCGCTTGATTTGATCTGCAGCGGAGTTTTCTATGAGCGGAGGACGAACTATAAACTTCAATATCACCGTCAATGATGTTCATGTAATCGTGGGCAGTCAAAATCATAATATTTGATTAATTGTGCAGCCCTACACTGTACTACAACAGATGGCGTAATTCCGTGCGTCCGCAGCAGCTGGCATCGTAAAGTATATTCGTAAAGAATTAGCATTTTACCACATTTTAACCCAAAGTTACTTATTTAATGGTACAGCATAGGCAGTTTGTCCAGGATTTTTCAATTTCATGACCGCAGAAATCAGAGGACCACGGTGTGTCATGTGACATCATTACGACGTGCATACAAGTTTCCTCCCCAGTCCGAAGAGATTCGTTGTAGGCTGATTTGTGTGAATGTGTGCGATTGTGCCCGTCCATTGTGTCCCCTGCCCTGTGCCGCGGGATCCTTGTGATAGGCTCCGGACTCCCGGTGACCCTGTGTAGGATAAGCGGTACGGAACATGGATGGATGGATTTTCTTACAGGAACGTTTTACTGCACCAGGAACACACGTAGATTCAGACAGCAAAAGTATTTGGACACAGACATTTACACAGCTCTTGTTCTGTTCTGTTATTGTTATTTAATGGATTATTAAAAGGGCTACCCACCTTATTCAATCAGATTGGCCTCAATAAGTTTACTCTGTTCCGACTGACGTGTTTACGTGAATGACTGACTTTTCGGTAGGATTATTAACGAGTTATTAAGGTGCATGTAAACGTAGGCACTATGACCCAACCAGATTCGGTTGCATAGTGAACTGTGCCCATTCTCCGGTATCATAAACAGCACGTAACCTACAGAATGAACTAGATACTCAACAACGACTGGCTAGTCACTAGCGCATCTATACCCAACTAACGATAGCTAGCTCAACTATAGTGTAACAAACAACACGATAATGCACATAACATATTTTGTTCTCTGTCCTGTCAATAAAATATAGCATAAGCCAGATATTAGCATTAGCAATCTGGTTAAAACCCAGACAAGAGGGTACGATACAGAAGGAAAATAAATCGGCTGAGTATCAGGTATTGTTCACTAGCTTCTCAACAAATTACTAAACAAATAAATGCAAGAAAAAAACTTCTTTCATGACTAAATTTGGGGCATGATTAAGACTGCCTTCTCTGATATGGTGTAAGCATACATGACTCAACACCCCTGACACATTGCTCACATGTTGCCACATGAGCTCAGGACCATGATATTATATTAATCTTTTGTGTGTGTGTGTATTTTTAACAAAAATCCTATGTGCTATAACTTAGTCATTGAGATTTATTTAAAAGGCAAATGAAATTAAGTCGGACTCGGACAGCACTACTATGAGCACCACACACACTGCATGGCATTATCAGATATCAGCATCTCGCGTGTATAAATGATTTACAGCCGTGTCAGAACTAAACTCGGTGTGTATTTGTAAGTGCTGGATTAGCATTTTATGCTATGGGCTGTGTGAAAGTCATTGTCAGTGATGTATTTTCATTGCCTTATAGTTTTTGTACAAAAGAAAATGTACGAAATGTGAAATTAAATTTATATATATACCGCGTAAAACGTACCTACACATCAGCTACTGCACCGAGCTTCATAAATATCCTCACAGAAACATCTATTAGATTTGGATCACCGTCAGATCCCATAGAACTCGATCAGGCGACTGAAAGCTTG